ACACACACACACACACACACACACACACACACACACACACACACACATGTATCCACTACTTAGACATACACTGACACACATAGTTTTGGAGAACAAATAGATCTGCTCATGATCCCGATCATACAATGCCACCTGTGAAACATTGGAGTCAATGTCATGGCTTGTGCTTGCATGGCTTATTGACTCATTAATCTTTATTCATAAAGTATGATATGATGACAGTAGCAAAATAAATTCAGAAAACAAAACCATTTCGTCTGCCAATTTAGAGATCAACTCAACAAAACTGATTGCGGCCAGACAATGACATGAAACAGACAAATAAGTTTGTCAGGTCAAGTCGAGGAAGGTTTTGGCCAAGTCAAACCAGACCAAAACCGTGTAACGCATGACTTTTGTTTGAGTTAAAGCATTGGTGTCAAACATACGGCCCGCGAGCCGGAACCGGCCCCCAAAGAGGTTCGATCAGGCCCGCAGGATAATTTAAAAGTGAAAAAATGCATAAAAGACACGGAATGAGTATTTGTAATAAGGTGCAATTCATGGAGTGTCCACTAGGGAACACACTGTTTTGATCAGAGTAGAAGACAACATTGTTTGGATCAGAGAAGAAAACAACAGCAGTCTCAGTCTGTCACCGAGACAGACCCAACACAGCAGACGCTTTCAAGGACATGTGAATATTTTTTTCTTTACGCATTTAATAGCACTCTCCTTAGTTTGTAAGGTGTAGGCAGGGATTAAATTTAGATTTTATATGCACGTGTGAATGGTTTAAAAATTGCTTTCTTGATAAATCTCGTTTAATCTTAAAGTGCATTACTATATTTTTCAACATCAATTACTTGCTTTGAGTTTTGTGCCTTTGTCCAGTCAGTGGGATCAGTTGCAATGCATATATGTGAACGATAAAAGTAAATTGCACATTTGTCTAAGGAAACCTCAGCTGCTTCATGAAATGTTTTGTAAAAGACATGATCATTAAATTTCAACATTTTCCGAATGTCCTTGTGCTTCTTTAGACCAAAACAAAGACATGCTATTATGGTTATTTATAGCAGAGTATGGTATAATTTTAATGGTCCGGCCCACTTGACATCTACCGAGACCGTATGTGGCCCACAGTGTGAAATGAGTTTGACACCCGAGTTAAAGGAAACACCACCCAAAACAAATACCAACATAAAAAGGCTCCAGTGAAGCCTCTTAGCAGAAGATGAATATAAAAGTTTGGTTATCTCAATGGGTCGCAGCCTTGATGCAGTTATTACTGCTAAATATCTGTTTCAACAATCTTACTGAACTAATTTTATTTATTTTTTTTACTATCAGTAATGCTTTTATAAGATCTATATCATACACAGATGGAAATACTTCGAAATGAAAGCTGAAATGTTGCTTCATCTTTTGATGGCAAAACCAGTTGTTTTGGAGGGAAGTTTATGTTGCAATTCAAACCACTGCAAATGACAATAAACGCATAAGATACTAGCAATCTGACCGAACCTAAATCAATTGTATTTATTAATCCATTTCCAGCAATGACATTTCACAGTGGAACACTGAGGAGATAAGAAGTTACATAAATTGTTTCATATAATACCAAACAATACAAAAAAGAGCAAGATGCAAAATAAAAAAATTAATTCAATTATGCTACAAAAGCTACATTTCTCTTTCACACAACCAAAATTCAAATGAAAAACTATGGACCTAAATCGACTACACTGAGACAAACTATTCCCACTTATATTCTCCTTGACTTTTGCAAGCGCTTTTTGTTCTTCTTGTGCAAGCGCTTTTTGTTCTTCTTGTCTCATCCTGTCTTATTGTACCAGTCATTTATTATTACCATATATTTATACTTAATCGGCCTCGCGCTGTCTTCTGTAAATAAATATTTTTGTCAAAACCCTTATCTGAACATATATTAGCCGGTTAGGATTATGAGTTAGGTTTAGGGTTAGCGTTAGTGGTTAGGGTTTAGGGTTAGGGGTGAGGGTTAAGGTTAGGGTTAGGTTAGGTTAGGATTAGGGTTAGGGTAATGGCTAGGGTTAATGTTAGGGGTTCGGGGTTAGGGGTTAAGGGTTAGGGGTTAGGGTTAAGGTTTGTGTTAGGGTTAGGGTTAGGGGGTTAGGGTTAGGGGTTAGAGGTTAGGGTTAAGGTTAGTGTTAGGGTTAGGGGTTAGGGTTAAGTTTAGGGTTAGGGGTAGGTTAGGTTTAGAGTAAGGGTTAGGATTAGTGTTAGGGGTTAGTGTTCGGGATTAGGGATTAGGGTTTAGGTTAGGGTTAGGGTTAGGGTTGGGGTTAGGGTTAGGGTTTAGGACAGG